TGATTGTAGTGCTCGTCGCAGCGACGATACGTTCGAACCTCCGAATCCACCTTTAAGTGTCCCGGAAGCTTGTTCCACACGTAGTCGATGTAGTCACCGTACACTCGTAACAGTACGACCTTCGATATATACTGCAACTGCTCAGCGCTCAAATCCAGAATGTCGGAAGGATGATGTAGCGCGAGATACATTTTATTACTGCGTGACTCGCGGATTCACGGGCCTTTAAATAGGTGGTCGAGAGCGCACAGCCCGTAGTGCGAGCATGAAATTCGTATTGCAACCGCTGGCGATACGCGTCACGAACTGCGACGCGAAATCGCGAATAATGGGAAGCGGCGTGGAGAAGCGCAAGCACGGCGAAATGCTGCCGAATACTATACGCGCGATCATTTGAAGCCCGTCGAATTGCGGTAAAACCAACGTTCTCGTAAGCTTACTTGAGAGTCCGAACGGCGTACGTTTCGAGAACGTGTACGTCTACTTGAAATCGTTGCAACAGCCAAAGTATCAATATCTCGAAAATTTGTTTACATTTATCGACGAAATCGGCTACTTTACGTTCTCCAACAACAGCGACGTCGTTCCACCGAGCGAGGCGCGTCCAAATTCTATTTTTATCTTTGATGACAGGGCATGCGACAAGGAGGATGCGGTGAGAGAATACTTTTCGATGGGTCGCCATGCGAACGTCGACTGCTTCTATCTTTGTCAAACGTACGCGAGGATACCTAAACATCTGATACGCGACAACGCGAACCTGCTGATCCTGTTCAAACAGGATGGTACCAACTTGAAACATGTTTACAACGATCATGTGAATATCGACATGTCATATGACGAATTTTAAGCGTTGTGCCGCGACTGTTTCCAACAAAAATATGGTTTTGTAGTGATAGACAAAGACAGTGCGCTCACAAATGGACGATACAAAAAAGGATTTAACGAGTTCGCGATACCGTAACGTAACCAGTCGTCATCGATACTTAACCAGAGACAAACATGGCAGATGTGCGCGAGCGCGAAAAAATCGTGAGGGTGATCGAGAAGACGAGCGAGTCGATCCGCAAGAAATATCGCGCTCTGAAGTCCGGTAGAATCGAAGAGGGCATCGCGTTGGATAGACATTTTAAACCTCTTATCGAGCCGTTGCGACTTTTCGCCGACAACCCCGGCGAGCGCGCGACAAAGAGAGAGTCGCGCGACGAAGATGCAGCGTCTGCCCCTAAACGTGAGAGGAAGGAGGAGGAGGAACAAAAGGAGGGGGAAGAAACGAGCGAGACGTTCGAACCTTCCGCAACTCTGCATAAATCCAGTGATCGATCGTGCGAACCGATAACTTCCACCCCACGTGCCAAAATCGTACCGACCATAGAGTCATTGGAGAACGTTTTCGAAACGACGGAAGACTCGATAGCAACGAAGGTTCAAAATCAGCTGCAAACGTCAGAAGGTCGAGAGGCGTTACGAGCCAGCTTGGGCCCGCTGGGCCAAAAGTACGTCGAGGCTGTCCTGAGGGGAGCGCAAGATAAAGAGAGCGGTATAGATCACGTGTACGGCGTTTACCTACACAAGGATGGATTGATGTTTGACAATAAACGTTTCGACGTGGATGACGAGGACAACATAATTATCGATGTCATACGATACGCCGGTACACCCGGTCTTTACGAGTTGAATTTTAAGAGAATTCCCGACGATGCCCTCTACACGGAAAACGATATGCACAAGTACAAGAGCATGCTGTTGATGACGAACGCGCACAAACACAAGCATCATTCGCAAGGTCGATTATTGAGCAACAGGAGATACAAGTACAAATACATAATCGCGCCGTTGATGCTGGTCACACCCAAGAAACAGAGTAAGAAATCTGTAAAAGAATTACCTCACGCAATGACGCTAAACGACAACGCGATTGATTACGTGCGCTGGGACGATCCCAACGAGCTGGTGGATCGTCTACGATTGCTCGACGCTTCGCACCAAGCGGGCAACAACGCTCACAACGAGATGCTGTCGATCATCGCGGAACTCCGCGAAGCCGGTCTTAGTATAAATTAAATCGTGTATCAATGAAACGA